GCGCGCCAGCGCGCCTGCCTGCGGACTATGAAAGCAGCCAATGCCACTGCAATTACAGTACTCACCCCGCCTCCCCGCCGATCGATATGACGCAATATTTTTCGCCTTTTTTGCTTTTCTTTTTTATTAGTTTTGCTCGTTCTTTACCTTTCTTTTTCTTGTTTTTATGTTTATTAGACTCGTTTAATTCGAATGACTCCTGCTATATTAGCGACGATGAAGACCGCATTGGAATTGAATAGAGCGGCCGGCCAATTCAAACAATGAAAGGACTCAGTACCTCACAAATGGCGCGCTCCAATTTTCCATCGCAATCCTGCGTTACGCGGCGAATGCGGCGTGCACGCCGTCTTCGGGGAGAACATTCCGGACCATGGGCAGCGCACCTTTCACATCTCCACCTCCACTCCCTCAGCGAGAGAGTGTCCTGTTAGTGGCTACCTCCTTAAATCTGACTCTTTGCTTAGGGTCAGCTCGACATCCACCTCGAGTTTCTCTCGTCCTCAAGCATAGACAATAACAATTTATCCAATGGCCTAGAATCGTTTCCCAGTATCGCTGCTGCCCCATCGTTCTCTGCGGTTTCCCCTTAATCTCAGGGATCCCTTTAAGGAAGTTTCGGACGAATTCATATAATTAGAGCTTGACTATGGACGTTGCTACTGCTGCGAATAAAACTTACGTGAGAGTTCTATCAGTCTCTTTCGCATGTTTTTGTTTGCGCATCGCATACTTCCTTGATTCTCCAGCCTTATAGCTGAAATATCCCCTCGTTAATTCCAGCCTTTCAGACTTGGAAGAGAAATTGATTTCGAGTACTTTCCAAAATTGGTGTTATCTGAACGGTTGGGCAAATGCGAGCTGTTCTCTGAGGACGTGTAAGGGTGACAAAGCCGATTTCATAACTGCAGTCAGCTTTCAAATGAGCAAGCGAAAAAAAACAGAGCTCCAAACGAGATGCTCGGCCTCGGAAGAGATTCGAACTTGCATCTGTGCGCTCCTGTTCAAACTTTAAAAAATGTGACTTGCAGTACAAGCGATATCGGCATAAACTGGCATTGGCCAACGGGGTCACCATGTTATGTTGAGGCGAACTATGGTTACTTACACCTGTCATAGAGAAGAAAAAAAAATGGACTAAATTTTATAATATTACCCTTCGTGGGCTTGCTCCGCTGTCTCGTCAGTTTCAGTTAGAGGAAGAAGAGATGTGCTGGTCACGTTCTCGAGTGCAGATAGTGGATTGGGTTCGGGGACGCTTGGCATTTCCACGTCAGGCACATTTCCATTTACTTCCGTGACCATTGTGCTCTGGATCGCAGATTGTCCAGGACTGCCTACAGGAGAATACCTACATCCATTTTATGAAAAATGAGTCCTGTAGGGAAGCAAAAAAAGATTCTTCTCAAAGGTCAGAACGTATTGCACTACATAACCATGCATGATGTGTACAAGAAATAACGAAAAACACTCATACGTTCCTTTTTCTCAATGGCACCTTCTAAAAAAATTTACCTTGGCTACCTAATACAATGACTATCATGGGTAAGATCTACTATTGAATTCGGTTTCGAAAAAAAAAATCGGCGATTACGGTACAGCGGCTTTATTTGGTCAAAGTAATACAGGAATTTGAATACTATAGTGCCCTACAGAACAATTTCATTAGCAGTAATGTCGTTTGACGACACAAAACGAAACCGTCACAATGATCTCCTTCAAAGAACCGCTATGGGCACTTTCAGAGTACAGCGAAGTCCGCTGAAAACGCAGCGCTACACACCATCGACAACGTTGGACAGCGTGCGTTGAATGCTGGACAGGCCACGTTAGTGTCCGCGCAGATTCCGCTGACGGTCTCTGCGTCGACGATAACGCTGCCTGTCCAGCATTGTCAACGCACGCTGTCCAGCCTGTTAGCGGGTGGTAGGAACGCTGCGTTCCCAGCACACGTCGCTGTGCTCTGAAAGCGCCCTATGTTTCTTCAAGATGATTTCTTTGTCATGACTCGCCCGCGTCCCACAGCCCACGTCTGTCTTGTTATCTTGAAACCGCACTTTTGCTTTTCATGACACACTTAAAGAAAGCTTCAGTTAAAAGGGTAGTTGTTCCTGCAAGGGACTTTGGGCGCAGTGTAATGAATTTCTGAGGAAATGAAAAAACTCTTCGTAGCTGGGACATCGAAAATCCAATTTGATCTCTCAACTTCTGAGTAAACCGAAGCCATCAACTGTTGCAATACTGGTCCCGAGTTTCTCCAGGAGTTTCTCAAGTATTAGGTTGAGTAAAAAGTAATGATCGACGTTTCATACGTTTCTAGATTCTTTCGTAGGGTCACATGGAACGATTTCGTAAAGGTTATGGTGGACCGTTCTCGAACATGTACCAGCGGGGTATATGCGCATGCCTTTGTAAGTGTTTCACAATTATGGCTTCAATCTCCAACTGTAGACCAAAGCTGTCTGAGAGCTATCATCTATTGCGAATTCCTGTGAGGGCATGATTTATCGATGGTTGTGATAAATATTTGTTCTGCATTGAGGAGACATCGTATCATAACACACGGGTGCCTCGTGACGAACCACCTTCAGGACAGCCAAGAAGTGGGCCTCATCCTAGTTGCTGTGTTGTTGGTGAGTTTCTCAGGGGACGCTTCATCTTGAATAACTTCCTGAAGGTTCCACCGTGACCGCCGAAAATTAAGCTTCCCAGCCACAGAGTTTGGCCGAAGTTATTCGAAGAAATCGTCCGCATAGAGTAAATGCATGTCTTTTTTACGACAACGCTCGACCGCATGTTTCGAAATTGTCTCATCAGAAAATTGCCGAACTTGGGTTAACATGCAGCACATCCTTCCTATTCGCCGAGCTCGCCCCGTCCGATTACTATTTGTTTCTTACTCTGAAACATCAAATGGCGCGGAGCTCGAAACTGAGATTTTCAGCTTTCTCGAATCGCGGCCACCGCAGTTCTTGGCTTCAGGACTCGAGGAACTGCAGCATTGTCGGACATATATAGTGACCCACGGTGGAGACTATATTACTAATTAAGGTCATTTTCAAATGAAAATAGGAGATTTTATGATAGATGAGAAATCAAAACCGTTTACTCAACCAAGGTCGATGACTAGACTCAAGGTGAAAAGAGTTTTGGAATGACAAAAAACGGTTCTGCAGATTTCACCAGGCCATTGAACTTCAGTATGTTACTGGGCTGATGGTTTGACTCAAGGGACGAATAGAAGACAGTCAAACACGAAACGAAAGCAAAAGAAAGGAGGAAATAAAAAAGGGGAGGAGATTGAGAGTATACCATAAGTATTGGGTTGATGCGAAGTCTCGGAACATAATCACTGTTTCGCTGCAAGAACCTTCACCGCCCTCGTGCCCTCACCACATTTTAGAGAGGTTTCGAATTTTCCACCAGTAATTGTCAAATGTAAATAAATAAATAAATATGCCTATCTTCGAAGGCGCTCATTCGCTACCTTTCATTCCAGAGATTCGACGCTCAATGACGATCCTTGACCAGACAACCACTATCAATGATTACCGACTTCCCAGCAGAATGGTGAACAGGCGAGAGGTTGCGACAAGAGTTTCAACGAAGCTGCTGTAGAGCGATCATCATAGTATGTCACTCCCACGAACACGATTACCGGAAAACTGCTGGATGGATTCCGCACCAACTTACACGCCGGCTCATTCAGCAAGTCGCTCCAACCCGCCTTAATCTGAAGGAATTTGTGTAGTATCAGGTGACGACAGATAAAAGCAGGATCTTATATGACAGCACCAATGGCTGCGCCTGGCTCTCAGTGGAGATTCCATCAGTGCAGCAAAGGCAGGACAGCATCCGAAGGAGAATGTTGTGCTGCTTCTAAAGCTCGAGAGAATGCTATATCACGACTCAGCCCCTTCAGGGCAGACAGTAACGGCTACCATCTTCAGAATTAGGCTACAGGAACTCGCCCATGCAATTGGGAAAAAAGCAGCCTCGAGATCACGCATCTATGTAACAAGAACTTGCCTAGAGTACTGCTCTACTCCATCCCTGCTTCTCTGATCTAACTTCTTATCACCATCACCTTCTTAGGCATCTCAAGCAGTTCGTAGCCATAAAGAAGTATCCCACTTTTGGTGACCTCAAGAATGCCGTGGCATGCTTCATAGACTAAAATGCCTCCTCATTCTGTGAAAGAGAACTGGATGATTCGTCCGCTCATTGGATGAATGCCGCAGATAATCGTGGGGACTATACAGTTCAGTGGGCGTTTGAAAAAAATTAAAGTTTACTAGAGTGTATCAAGACTTTTGCGTCAACGTAATAACTCAATGCGAAGGCAAGCGTGGAAACTAAATAGCTGGAATCTTCATCAAGAGGCGTAGCAAGGCTTGGTATCTTAATTGCACAGCACCGGGTTTATTTAAGGCCTCAAAGAACCTGAAGGAGTTCGTGGTAGTATCAATACCTCACCTGCCTCCTCTCATCCTGAAGATTTTTGGAAATAAGGAGAATACGTAGGTGAAAGCATAATTCACGATGAATTTTGGGTATCCAGTTTTAGACGAATAATGGAAGTGGTTGTCCAGAATAGCGGAAAAGAGGCAAGGGAAAGGCGAAAATCGGTGTTTCTAGAGAAGTATAAGGCTTCGAAAAAAATACGAAATTAGGAGTTGCACGAGAATGGCACGACGAAAGCTGTATGAAGGGGAAGCCGAACGAGCTGTCTAGATGACCAGCCACTGCCTACAGCTGGCTTCATTAAGCTGCCTGTGGGGTTTGGGTACATTCACCCAGAACTGGATGGACGAGGAAGACCGCGCGGCGAAATTCGTGGTGATTAAAACGGCTTTGGCGCCTATCATTGGGACATGCGTATCATAGATTGGATATGTAGGGCCTGCTTATGCTACTTATCCATCCCACTTCAAATTTGTGCCCCAATTATAGGCGCCAGAGACGTTTTACTCACCACGAATTTCGCCGCGCGGTTTGCCGCGTCCATACAGTTCTGGGCGAATGTTCCGCCCTCCCCCCCCCCCCCCCCCCCCCCCTGCCTGTGTGCTGCAGAATGCGAAACCCGGTGCGAATGATGCAACCACCACAGCCTTCACAGTGCCGTGGAAACTCGTCCACCTCTGGATGTGCACGTCTAGGCCGCTTTTCGATCTGACGCGTTCCCTGTGCTATCCTTTTGGGTCCCAGGTTCATTCTAACAGAACTTTCAGAAACAATTTGTATCGTGAACTCTGCCTTTAAATGCTATCAATCCTACGCTCTTATCATATGACACAAGATATGCACGAAAAACTTCTCAGCATTGGCTGTAGATGCTGTTTGGAAGATTCGCCTGGTTTGCTTCACTTCTGCATAATGCTAGTTTAACTCTGGAAGACCTCTAATTGAGCATTATTCACCCCAACAGTACCATTTCAAAAGCTTTAGTGAAAGTACGAACGGTGAGATTGGGTTTTCGCGACCCCGCACCCCCATCTTGCAGGAATGAAATGAAATAGCCGGTAAGGTGAGCAATGATATCACATAATGCAGTTATTTACACAAGAGGGTTTCAGAGTAAACAGTCATACTACTGGTACTGGTTGGGCCACCGTTTCGAAAATTGAACTTGTACATGAAAGTGAACAGATGTATAATGTAAAGGGAACGGGTCTCTAAAAAGAAGAAAAGGCAGATCATCCCGACATACCGCGTGGTGATTGGCAAGTCAACGACGTTTCTTTGGTGGCGTAGTTCGCAATAGTAGAGGTTCTCACTAGGACTAATTTCTACCCTCAAGTATGCAACGTTGATAGTGTGGGGCCGAAAACTTCCTAGAAAGGGGTCTAATCACGGCTCTGTTGGCCTCCACACCCAAAAGCAACTTTGATCAGAGGTGGAAAGCAATTTCTGGTCACACATGTAGGTACTTTAGCTAACTTTTCAAGCAATTCAACACGGATGAAGTCCGGATAATCCTTTCTCCGTCGTAATCGCGTGCAACCCACCAATTCAACTAGTTTCTGAAGAGCTCACATTTCTGTTTTCCTGCGGATTCACACGCCTTCTTCGCCACTAGAACACTACTCACTACAAGACTTCCGTTATTCAACTTACAAAGTTGCCTCTAATTGTGCCTTCAATCGGACGATAAACAGGGAGTCTAGTCCTCATCAACAAGAACAATATTTTGTAAACTTTAGAACTCGATTACACTAGAGGGAGTTCAATCGTTTCGAAAACAATGAATCGTGTTTTCTTGCCTGTGTCAACCTCTGGTTGTATATGAATTTGCTGAAACGAATTGAATGTAGTGGACGTTTTTCTATGCGGAATGCCGAACTAAGGCGATGGAGCCAACCTGTGCCAAAGCAGTATCAGGAATGATAAACAAGAGAGCATACAACCACATAGGAGAGACAGATTAACAACTGCGCCTCACTCGATGCCAGTAGAAGCATAAGGATAGAGGTAAACACACATATACACACAACAGGAGCAGATCTCCCCAGTGATCTCTGCTTATCGGAATATATCGAACAGCATATCACCTGTATCAACTGCCCTCCCGTTGATCATCAACTCGCTTGAACAGACGCCAGTCATGTCTTGTCAGTAATCGCTCTGTTTCGACGGTCACCACAATATCGCCTGACGTGTCGTGTCCTCCTGGTCTTCAACTTCTTGGTGTAAGCAACGGTATCCCCGATCTTCGTTCGTCGACGGAACTCGAAACTCTAAACTTCTTAGGTGCACTTCCGCGTATACGAAAAGGTGCTAAATGGGTTGGGGGAGACCATGCGGTGCGGCAGGCGGCGCGGCACCCTGCGCTCTCTCCAGCGAGATAGTAGAGAAGGAAGAGAAGTCGAGCCCGAAACGGTGTTTAGGGACGTTTCATAGTTTTTTTATGTCGTAACTGTGTATTTTCACCTAATTTTAGGAAGGAGGGGGGGGGGGGGGGGG